GTGTCGGGTCACAGGGGCAGCAGCCAAAGCCGAGAAGCCCAGACCTCACTCTCCCCAACCACTTGGGCTAGCTCTTCCGGGTGAATCCCAAGTCTTTTGCTAGCCAGACAAGAAACATTGGGTGTTTCTCAAAGTCAAGGCGCCTGGCCAAGCAATGTCTTCCTTGCTTGCGAGGACACTGTCCTTCCTTGGTCATCGGAAACAGTTAAATGGAACAGACTTGCCTCACGTAACCGCGGCTCCTGCAGATGTCATGTCGCGCCTCGTGACTCGTAAGTTATATTTTATACATATATGTTTCAATATAAATGAATAACAAGCCATTTACTTTTTAAATTGTGTATATATTGGTTAAATTTAATATGTACTGTAAGTGAGTTACTACCTGCTAGCCACCAAAGCAGCAACTAAGCAACTAACCAATCATAGACAACTATTTTGGATCTAAAGAACATTTTAGATTTCAGCCCGATAGCTACAATTAGTTGACTTACATTTATACTGGAAATTTGCCCCGAAGTAGCTGCTGGCCCCTGATCTGCCATAATTTGAAAATACTACTGTATTCTGGGAAATTTTTGACAGAGAAAAGGCAACAAGACACTTCCCGTGCATCCTTGGTCATCTAGCTAAATGACTAACAAACGGAGAACAGACACCTCGGTAGCACCATTGGTGTCATGTTTGGGTGTAGCTTTTTGACCCACGACATGTAGAATCACCACGGGAGACAGAAGGTAAGTAAAAAATGTTATTTATTACGCTTGGTTGAGGTGAATGTGGCAATCCAATTCTTCTTTGAGAAGAAAGCACAGGGGTGGAGCAGGTTATCAGATGGAGATGTCTGGGAAAGAACAGTGCCAACTCCGGAATCCGAGGCGTCAACTTGAACGGTAAATTGAATGGAGGGATCAGGGCGAGACAGAACTGGAGCTTGGGAAAAACTGGACTTTAATTCCAGGAAAGCCTTGTCTGCATCATCAGTCCAAACAAAGGGTCTTTTTATGGATGTTAGCTGTTTAAGGGGAGAAGCCACCTGGCTGTAGTTACAGATGAAACGTCTGTAAAAGTTAGCAAAACCAAGGAAACGTAACTGTTTGCGAGTCATAGGGATTGGCTGCGTCTACTTTCTCGGGGTCTGTCTTCAACCGCCCACTCTCCAAGACGAACCCAAGGAACTTCACAGATGAATGAATGAATGAATGAATGAATGAATGAATGAATGAATCAACCAACCAATCAATCAATCAATCAATCAATCAATCAATCAATCAATTTTTTATTAATCCCAGAGGGAAATTAGAGTGTGAAATTCGCATTCCTCTGCTTTTACAAAGAGGGTTAGGGTTAGGGCATGACGAGATATTCGTAGTGGCCCAGGGGGGTCTTAAAGACCGTCTTCCGCTCGTCGCCTTCCCTGATTCTGATGAGGTGGTAGGCGTTACAAAGGTCCAGCTTTGTGAAAATGGTAGCATTCTGTACAGGATCAAAGGTAGATGACAACAGAGGCAAGGGATATTTGTTCTTGGCAGTGATTTGATTAAGTCCTCTATAGTCAATGCAAGGACACAGGGAACCGTCCGTCTTGGACAAAAAAAAGAGCCCTGCACCTAAAGGAGAGGTGGATGGGTGAATTATACCTGTTGCTAACGACTCTGAGATGCAGGTGGCCATGCTTTCACGTTCAGGTTTAGACAAACTGTATAACCTGCTGGAAGGTAGGGTGGCTTCCTGGAGTAGATCGATGCAACAGTCGTGAGGACAATGGGGTGGCAGAGAGGCAGCTCGGTCCTTACTGAAAACCATTTGTAGATCATGGTACTCGGGAGGAACCAGAGACAGGTCGGGAGGACTCAGGGGGCTGGGAGCAGGAGCCTGGGCAACGATGTTAGCAGACAGAAGGCAAGGGGATAAACAAAATGGACTACTACCTGACTGGTCTTCCAATCAAGGTGGGGGTTGTGCATGACTAACCAGTCATGACCCAGAACGACAGGGGACTGAGGAGAGGGAAAAACAAAGAATGAGATGATCTCATGATGGTTACCAGAAACCTGTAGTTTGACGGGCACAGTTTGGTGGGTGATGGTGGTCAATGAGTGTCCGTCCAGCAATGAGGCCCGGATTGGGGTGGTGAGAGGTGTTGTGGAGATTCCCAGTTGGTTGACAATGGTCTGATCCAGAAGGTTCTTCTCACAACCGGAGTCAATAAGGGCCTATGTGGGGAAAAACTGCTGACTTAAAAAAAAAACAGAACAGGTCAGAGCACACCAGGAGATTTTACTTTTGAGAGTGCCACCCACCAATACCCCCGGTATTACTGGTGGGCTCTCCCTTTTGGGCAAACCGGAAAGTTAGACAGAAAATGACCCGACTGACCACAATATAAACAGAGTTGAGAGGAGAATCGATGTTGTTTCTCCTCTGGGGTCAGACTGGCATGGCCTATTTGCATAGGTTCATCCGGAGAGGCTGAAGCAGAGGCTGAGATGTGAGGCTGAACAGGAGGTGATGTGGAACAAGCGGACTGTTTGGGCTGAACGGGCGGAAACCATGGCTGTGTGTACTTAGAACGGGTCTTTAATCTTTTTTCAATGCGGATAGCAAGGGTTATGAGATCCTCCAAATTCTCAGACTCAGGGCAGAAGGCTAACTGATCCTGAATTCATCGTTAAGGGCTTGGGTAAAAGCTCCTATCAGTGAATCAGCATACATACTTGAAGTTGTGGCCAAAGTTCTGAAGTCTATGGCAAAGTCTGATACCGTTAGTTTTCCTTGTTTTAGACTCCATATGGTCTTAGCTATTTCTGCTGGGGTTTCTGAATGGTCAAAAGTCTTTTTGAAATCGGAAAAAAAATTGGCGAGGGAACCTTTAAGGAAGCTGGTGTCCCGGCTTTTTGCTTCCGCCCATTGTGAGGCACGGCCTTGGAGCAAACCTATAATGTAGGATATTTTAACTGGGTCGCTGCTGAACATATCTGGGGACCTTTCAAATGCCAACATGCATTGGCGGAGAAAACCTTGTACCTGGCCAAACTCACCGCAGAATGTATCTGAAGGAGGGGAGTCCGTGACCCAGAAGTGCCACTGAGGTGACGGACCAGTCTGGACAGGAAGCTCTCGGGCAGCTGGCGGGACCATTGGAACTGCGGAAACAGAAAGCTTGTCATTCATCTGCCGGATCATGGTTTCTAACTGGATCAATGCTGGTTAGTGTTTGTCTGTTGATCAAGGAGTGTCTGTGGAGTTCTCATGTTGGGATAATGTCGTGGCTAGAGCAGGCGGAAGTGATTCAACGGTGGGATCAGATTGCTGGCCGGATGATTCTGTCATGTTTGGGTGTAGCTTTTTGACCCACGTCATGTAGAATCACTACGGGAGACAGAAGGTAAGTAAAATATTTTATTTATTTGCTTAGTTGAGGTGAATGTGGCAATCCGAGGTCTGGAGGCTCCGATAGATTCTGAAGTGGAAACAGGAGTGAGTATCTTGAAGTTAACTTGTAAACAAAACCAAGTGAGAGGAGGCTTACGGTTTCCTGGATGTTTTAGGAGCTCAAGAGGAGGGCAAGTCAGGTCTGGCTGGGGTGGTTGAGAGACAGAGACAATGCCTGGGAGCGGAGCACTGGAGAACAGGAGTCCAAATGTGTCCAGACGGGCAGTTGAGCGGTGGAGAGCAGGCGGTCAGAGGCGAGTGACGTGGCTGGCAGGCAGGTTTGATCCAAAGGAGTATTGAAGAAGAGAGGTTTTGGTTGATGAGAGGAACCTGAGTGAGTCAGGAGAAAACGGCAGATTAATATGAGGATCGCTGAGATTACAGGAAGCAAAGAAATATTTAAACAGGCAAGAACACAGGCTAGACACTACCCAATACACAGTAATCTTCAGGCACTGGTGAGTTGTCTCGCCGCTCCTTAAATCCCCTGACCACTGATGAGACGATCTGCAACAGCTGCTCTCCGGGACACGCTCACCTGCAACAGAAAGTCTCAGATCCCAGACAGAGGTTAACTCAGCACAGACCATGACAACTGGAGAACGCCTTGCTGGTTCCTGATGACGTATCTCCTAGGCAAGCTGGACCAAGGCATCAAGGTGAGGTTCCTTGACATTGAGAAATACCCATCGTCCCTTCAGCGTGTCCTAGGTCTTCCTTTGGGTACCCATAAAATCTCAGAGAGGCATACAGGAAGCATCCTAACTAGATGCTCGAGCCACCTCAACTGTCTCCTTTCGATTTGGACAAGCTGTGGATCTACTCCGAGCCCCTCCCGGATTGCTGAGCTTCTCACCCTATCTCTAAGGGAGAGCCCAGACACCCTGCACAGAAAACTCATTTAAGCAGCTTGTATCCACAATCTGATCCTTTCTGTCACTGCCCAAGGCTCTTGACCATAGTTGAGGGTTGGAACTTAAACTGACCGGTAAATTCACCACGACAGACCAGTACAACGCCCGCATCACTACAGATGCAGCACCAATCTGCCTATTTCCCAAAAACATGGTCTCAGATTTAAAGGAGCCGATTCTCATCCCAGCTGCTTCACACTCGACTGCAAACCGCTTCTGCGAAGGCTGTAGATCACGGTCGGATGAAGCCAACAGGACCACATCATCTACAAAAAGCAGAGACCTGATCCTTATAAGCCACCAAAGCGGATCCCCTCAACACCTTGGCTACCTTTAAAAATACTGTCTATAAACGTTATGAACATTTTCATTTAACGTGTTTAAATAGTGTGTTGGGATAACTTGTGCTATGAATTGGTGCTATAAAGATAACCTAAAAGGAATTGAATGTTATTTATGAATATACTCAATTAATTTCAGTCAATATAATTAAAATATAATATATGATATTTTAATATGATATTTAACAAATGTTGAACAAATTTATGATATTCAGTTAAATGTGATCCTGACTTCTTTTTAGTTGGCCTTCTTTAACCGCTTGCTAATGTTTAATTCCCCATCACCGCAGGTTGAAGGGATGTTTGGTCTCTCAGGCAGCAGTTCTCATTCTCGCTTTCCATTGGCTAAAGCGCGGGAAGGTGTGGTCTGCTCTGGATGCTGCATCTATTGTGCGCTTTTGTGCCAAACAATAAACTGTGGAGAAAGCCTTGCTGCTGCTTCTGTGCACATTTTTTAAAGCGCCTCATTGACCTTCTTGGTCAAAACTTTGCATTTTTTTTTTCATTCCCTTTCGCTTCCACCTGTGGCAGGATTGATTTGATCATCGCTTCTAACGGAACCAAACAAAAGCAGCGCAGATCCGAGCCCTGCGTCTCCAGATGAACTCGGATTGAAGTTTCACACGAGGAAAAAGACGGAGGAGCTCAGATTAGATTTGGGAAGGATAGGGTCGGACAACGGGCGATCGAAGCGCGAGCGCTTCTTTGGCATCAGGTGCTCGTCCCCGCGTGCGTAAAACCGCTGTGGAGGATGCTCACGGCATGAGACGCCATGGCATGGTGTGACCGAGGGGTTCAGACTTTGTTGGCCATCGCGGGGGCCTTCGCCGCCTTCAGCCTCATGACCATCGCCATCGGCACCGACTACTGGCTCTACTCTCGGGCGTACATCTGCAACGCCACTAATGTCACCTCCGACGAAACCCAGACGCAAACCAAGAAAGTCAAAGGGGACCTGACGCACTCCGGGCTGTGGAGGATCTGCTGTATCGAAGGTAAAATAAATTACTTTAAATGTGCACAAACTTTTTCCTTCCTTCTTCTGCATGGCCCTTGTTTGCATTATAGGTTAGGGAAGTGATGCGCCCCAGGGATGCTGACACAGTGGTCCTTTGTTTTCTGGAAGGTGGAGATCTGTGTGCTCAGAGGCAGAAGAAAAGTTGTCCCCTTTTCTGAACGAACACGTTATAATTTTTGACTATGCACAGATTTTGTTTTCCTTTCACGAGCCAGAAAAATGTCAAATGTTTCCTCGCACATCCTAACTGCACAGCAACAGTAAGAATATAACAATAAATGATGATGTTTATCCTGTTTGAGCAAAAAAATGTTAAATAAACATTTTAATATTAAATTAGGTTTCATTTCAGTAAACGTTACTGTTTTCTTATAGCTATTTTGTAGCTTGGTCCTTGGGGAGTTTGGGGCTGGGCGTCTGGCTTCTGGACAACAGGTCGATATCGCCTTACACACACACACACACACACACACACACACACACACACACACACACACACACACACACACACACACACACACACACTAGCATTCAAACCAAATCAATACAGTCAATCAGCCGATAAATATAGAGAACTGTGGTTCACAGCTCTGTGTGTTGACCATTGTCGTTGCTTCCCTTAAAAATATTAAATCAGCCATATTTTTTCCTGTAAACATCCGTTTTTTTTTATCCATGCACAACCCTCTGGAGGTTTGTTGAGATTTTTCTCCACATGCCTTCAAGCAACACCTCACCTCATTCATGTTTTACAGCCAAACAGATGTTACAGTTTCAGCCACATGAGACCATTTCAGGAACTCTTAGATGACTTTTCTTTCTAAATAAGTGAAAATATGAAGACTATTCAACAAAAAACACAAGATAATAGATTCATATCTGAAAATAGACGTTTCCCCTTTTCCATATGTTTCCATAGGATTCTATGTAGCAGATGTCAGACAGAGAGAGAGCTGAGTGTTGTGGCTGCATCGGTCCACTTACCCAGACATTTGTCTGATATGCTGATGAATTCAGTCATTAGAGAACTCACACTCCAGGCTCTAAGTCTCCACCATTGTAACTCATCCTGGAATTTCATGTGAAAAATCCGTTGCTATTTATGGATTTCATGTAAAGTTAATCAAAAGACGCATCCGCTCTTCTTCTCTCTTTGTAAGAGGCTGCAACAGATTTGAAAAGGGCTGCAGAGTGTTCTTAAATGCTGCCTTTGAGGAGTGTTGCACGTCAAACGAGAAAGGGAAAGTAACACAATCAGGCGAGCTCTTACTTCTGTGGCTTCCTGTATCCACTTTAGTATCCACTTTATAATTCCTAAATTGAAAACTGAGATTTTTGGATGACAATAATTTATAAAATGTCAGAACAATTAAAACATTATCTGTGGATAATATTTCTTTTTTCTGTTTATTTTATTTGTCTTTTGATATTTCTCTGCCTGGAGAGCAACATGGAGTCCAACCAGTTGTATTGAGTGAAATGAGCAGCATAAGTAAAGAGAAATCCTCGGGAGAAACCATCTGAGTTTGTTGTGTAGAAACAAGCAGTTGGAGGAAAATGAACTTTCTAGGGGGGAAATAAATAAAAGGGACGAATTGCAATGCAGGAAGTCATGCTGAAATGTAACAAGAACCTTTACTTTAGGAACATGCTGCTGTTTTCCGAACATGCTGCCCTCGCACAAAAACATACAAAGTCTTTCAGGCAAACAAAGTCTGACATTAGAAGGTCAAATCCTGATGAAGATACATCCTAATATGTGTATCTGATTCATTTGGTCTCATGAAGGTAACCATTGTGGGATTTGTTGTGATGTGTAAATATTAGTACATGTGTTATTGATAAAGTGTAAATGGACATGGTACATTGTAAATAGTGTGTGCTGAACTGAACACTAGGTGGCAGCAGAGCACTGCTAATATATAGAGGTGTAGTGTAGAGTTCAGGGGAAGTTCTGCTGAGATGATTGCTCAATGCTTGTCCCAAGTCCCTGCCAGCCTGCTTTCCACAAAATACAAAACATTACAGTTAAAAGTAGACATGTTTTCTTCCCTTCACAAAGAGCAATTAGTCATGATTCGTTTAATTGTAGTTTTAGTGTACAGAGCACGTAAAAATATTTATGGTCTTGTAGCCCAGGCTCTGGCATTTTGTTAGAGGTACAGCTTCATTAAATTTATTCATATACAGGGTTAGGGTTAGGCATCAATTGGGTTCAAAGGGGTCCAATTTTAACACATTATCTTATTTTTAATTGATGATAATTAAAGCATCACATTAAAAAAAAGTGTGTGTGTGTGTGTGTGCGCGCGCGTGTGTGTGTGTGTGTGTGTGTGTGTGTGTGTGTGTGTGTGTGTGTGTGTGTGTGTGTGTGTGTGTGTAAAAGCCTTGTGAATGCATTAGAAAGATGTCAAAGGTGTCCTCTGTGAAGCAGCAATTGAAAAGTGATTCTGGGTTGCCGGGGGGGAGGTTGCTATGGAGAAGCTATGCTGAGTAATAAAAGATCGTCTCCAATCTCTCAGAGAAACAGACTCTAGGGAGAAACCTCCCCCCCAGTGAACTCGCTCTCTCGTTCTGCTTCGTCGTTTCACCGTCAAACCCCTAATTATTCCCCTACCAGCTTTCAGTTCACATCTTGATTCCTCAGAGTCATTTTAAAGCTATAGTCACCACTTTTCCTCAACTTTTGGAGAATATAATGAAGAAAGGTGTCCAGTGATGCTAAAGTTAAAATCTTGACACTGTCAGCAAAAATGCATTGAGCTTTTGGTTTGATCTCAGGAGCATGTACATAAATATTCAAAATTAAACTGGTGGAAGCTTTAATAAGCGAGCATTCTAAAACATGAGGGAAGTGAGTTTTTCAAACTTGAGCACGGTCAGGGTGCTGTTAAAAAAGAGACAGAGAGAGCTGAAACAGTCTGGATGACTGAGTCTGACACAGAGGAGCAAACAGAAGGAGGCTGTCTTGTCACCTAATCCCTGAATTTCTTTCATTTTCTTCCCCTGCTGTTTCAGAATTCACTCATGATGAATTTTACTGATTATAAAAAGTGTGATGCAGTGGAATAAGAACATGATTGTATAAAACATATACGGTGCCCTGACTGTTTGATTGTGACTCACTGTGTCACGGTACAAATGCAGCGGATGCATGTCTTACTGCATCAAACGTGTCCATATCAAAACGTGTCAATCATCTCAGTGATCTGTGAGCTTGTCAGATGCCTCGTAGGCCCCGGATACAGAAAGCCACTCAGGCTCAGAAGGAACGGTCAGTGGGCTAATCAGCTGATTTGGATTTCCGAGCTACAACTGAGCTCACCACAGTACCATCTAAGATTAAATGTCTTCTCAGGGAAAGAAAATTAACTGAAGCCAAAACTCTGATGGAGATTCGGACTCTAATATTTGCAACAAAATAGGCAGAATTTTCTTGATTATTTATTACTAAGAAAAGTCACTTTTGGACACGTTCTTGAGGGAAAAAATGCATTGTTTATGACTGATGGAGCGATTAATTAATTAATTAATTAATTCCCTTTATTTCAATTAAAGTCTTTATATTATTTTATGATGTTAATACAATTTTTCTTGGTTTGTTTTCACCAAAAAACACAACATTTAAAAAAAATGTGTCCTTGACTCATTAAGAGAAGAATTAAGTGTGAAGTATTGAAATGATAATTAATTGGGGGTTTTTTTGTTTGTTTTTTTGCTTTGACACTAAATTAATTGTTCTTTAAAAGTGGGTTTCTGTGGAAAAGGTACTTGTTGTGGAAAGCTCTTTAAACAGCCTCCATCTGGAGAAACAAAGATTATCTCTGAAGGGCTAACCATGAGTCACACCAGGACCAACATTAAAGCTGATAGCAGCCTTTTAAAAACAATTATAATCTCAGAAATATCATTGCAGTTCGTTCAAATACTATTTAATAAAGCCTTTATACATTTAGATTTCAAATGATTATTTACATAAAAATTTGTGATTATTTGCAGTAGCAAATAATCTGGTGCCAAGGGCACCAGATTCAGATAAGAAATAGTTTTGGGGCCAGACAGAGATAATTTCCTCTCTGCCTTAAAGTTCCGTTGGTCCTCAACCCCTCTGAATCCAATAATGGCGTAAATTAATCTATCCTAATCTGTGCTGATTTGTCCACTCGCTCCTTGATCGTATCCATCTTTTGTGCCAATGCATGAATCTCAGCCGAAGTTCCAAGCTTACGACTCATCTCGACAATTATATGAGTCTGTGCGTTCACAGCGCGGTATAATCCATCCCTGAGCTCCGGGAAAGAGCCAATATTCCTTGACAGCTCGTTAATTTTCCGGTAAGCCAGGTAACCTCCCAGGCCAAAAAGCAGGAATCCTGACACCAACACCACGAATATCCAGACGTCTTCAGAATCTTCTACAGACAGTTGCGATAAGAAAAACAGGTTCCACTGTTTCCTGGAGTCCATGATATGCCCAGCTGGCTCTGTCCCAGAGGGGCACCCGGAAGCCCCTTCTCCCGTTCTCATCGTTGAAAAAATGTTGTCAATCGAGTTGAGAGACCAACTGACCAGGTCCATTTTAGTAATTTCAGTTTCCAGTTTTACAGAAAAAATGCAGAAACGCCGTACACCCAGAGACAGACAAACAGCCTTGGGATAAGATAGGGAGGAGAGGAGGAAAAAAAGCGTCTGTACTCTCCAGGAGCCGGAAGAAGAAGTGCTGCGTTCAGTTCATTTCAGTTCATCCTCCTGTTGGTTTTGAGTGTTTCATTTGCTAATTTATCCACAATATATCTATATCTATATTTAACGTGAACATCTAATATTCCCATAGCAGCGATAAAGAGCATCTTGTGCACAATCAGACGATTCAACAACAACATTCAGCTGTTTATTTGCATTAATTTGTAATGTTAAATCTCCACAGAGAACAGACGCTTCACTAGTTGTTCCAAATCAACAGGATTGTTTAAATCGTTTAGAGGAAGTGTCATAACTGTGTATCACTCCGATTATTAAAATATTCACGCTAACAGATTGGTGTGTGTGTGTGTGTGTGTGTGTGTGTGTGTGTGTGTGTGTGTGTGTGTGTGTGTCCTCAGCATCTCTCCCATTAGCCAAAACAAGTTTTACACTTCATCTCAACGCTTAATTCTAACCTTTAGTTGTGATGTAACATTTATTACCCACTCCACGTTTCCTTTCACATTCTTACATCTGGGAAATTTGAAAGTCAACACTTTAAAAGTTAGAAGTATGTTTATAAGTTTTGAATTGGAATTTGTGCTTTTAAGCCTTTTTCAGGCTTCACGTCCTCTTTTTAAAGGAGCGTGCAAGAGCCAAAGTGTCAATACTTTTTAGGGTATAATTCATTATCCAAGCTGTTTCTGTTTGCATCTTCAGGCTTTTAAGTACACTTATAATTGCTACACTTGTTCTGTTCATGCTCTCGTTTTGTGTTGTGAGTTTAATGTTTATAACGAGCGCTCGGCAGAAGCCAACGTGGTTACAAACACAGGGATGGAAGGATGCAGCGGCCAAACCAGAGTCAGGCTTTTTAATTCAAAGTCGAAGCTTTCAATATTTAAAAACCTCCAATGTTTTATTCTGTTAAAAGTTTAGAAGAGCATTTTCTCAGGGAAAAGACTGGATCGTTGGATGGCAGGAGCCTGAAAAGCTCAGAACGTCAGAGACAAACCAAAACCCTCCTTAGCTGTTTTCACGTGTTATAGAGTCATCTTTGAATTTGAGACTGATTATTGGTTTCAATTCTAATCCTTCATATCAAACATCAATATAAGGAAACGGAATTTCCCTTATATTTTAATTTATTTTTCTTTTCATAGCATTAACTTCTGCCGCCGCCATAAGTCAAACTTGCTGCTTCTCCGCAGGTATCAACAAAGGAAACTGTTTTCGGATCAATCATTTTCCTGAGGATAACGACTACGATACAGACAGCTCTGAGTACATCTTACGTAAGTCAGAGCAACCTCTTCATCTTCAAACACTCCAACCCTTAATCCTCTGTCTTTTCCACCCGTCTGCGATGATGAAGTTATCACACGGGTACTTAATGTGTCATGACATCTCCATCCCCTCCCCATAAAAGCATGATGTCATGACAGTAATTGCAGTTCTGCTGATTACAACATGTGTCATGTGGTGTGCAGTGAGGTTTGTCTGAAATAGACTCGTCGGAAGGATTAGGCGCTTTATTTGCTGTTGCAAATATTGTGGCTAATCTACTAGAATTTCTGCCATTGAAGTTTTATTAACTCATAAAAACAAACGATATCTGGAAATACAAGATCATCTTTTGGAGTTTTTCATGCAGGCAGAACATGAAAATAGTCTCCTACACCTATCTCCTGCATTAGCTTCTGATAGAAAATAGACTATAGGATTAGAAAAGCCTGACAGTTCTACGTCACACTGTCACTTAACATTCCTCACCCATCTTGAGTCATGACGGGGAAGGCTGTTGTTGGTTTGGTCCAGATGAGAGCAGAGAACCTCTCAGCTAGTAGAAGCTAACCGTTAGCATTAGCATCTCCACCACACAACAGAACTCCTCCACACTTGTGTTATTTATGGAGATAAAACATCAATGTTACAATGCAAAAAAAAAAGTCAGAAATAGAGTTGTGTTGCTGTTATCCAATCAAATATCAAGTAAAAGTGATCCAGCTCACTTCTAGTTACTGTAACAGGCGCAGCGGAGCTTTTTTACCCAGAGTACAGCTTCCAAGGCATTAATTCCTGCTAGAGACAAATATACAGTTGATCTATAATGTAAAAAACAACTATAAGTGATAATGTTGCCCCAGAAACATCACTGTGACGGTCCAGTTGTTGATGTCACGATAGCCTGATTCTGTTTCCAGGGAAACTAGTATGGATTGCAGATTGTAGTTTCAAATCATGTATTACTTTGCAAAAAAAAAAAAAGAAAGAAAAAAAAGACTGCTCTGTGAAACCTATGCTGTTACCTTACAGAGGGATCAGAACCAGGAGGAGGACTTCTTATCTTAACCTTTCAGATTATTATTCTGTCCATGGTTTGGTTTCTACCACAGGTTCCACATGTGTGAGTAAATAACCACGTGTCTTTGAAGTTTTAGCAAAATATCTAATGATGTAATCAGTTAATGGACACCTTCAACTCGCTCTGATTAATACCACCACGACTAATTAACATCAGCCAATACAAAACTGGCAAAAAGTGAGTTATTTTTACAGATATGGAGCTAAAACAGGATGTGGCAGAAGCTGAGAGTCATTCCCACCTTGTACTCTGCACATTAAAGGGGAACTAGGCAGTTTAAGCTTGCTTTTAGCACCCCCTACTGTCGGTTAATAGAACAGAAAGCAAAACCTGTCTCTTCACTTTGCGTTTATCTTTTTAACACCTTAATCTAACAGCTGACACATCTCGCCAGCCTTCCTCATTGTCTACAGGAGTGATTCATCTCTAAATTAAACAAATCAGCTGTGTTCATGATCTAAAAAGTGCAGAAAACGTGCTGAAGCCAGACTGCAGCACCAGGTAGGTCACCTCAATTTTATTCTATGCCTCAATAGAGCAGCCCGCCAGTCTGAAGTTGCAAGTGGAATATTCTGGTCATGGGGGCGATAGGAGCTGGGTGGCCTTTCAATAACCCTGTAAAGGGTCGTTGTAGCACATCCTGGCTCAAGAAAACAATTTAAAAATATGAAAAATTTGCTAAGTATCCATTTAAACATTACACAACTTTTGATTAGAAATTTGGTAATAACCATCGGAGTCAGTCAGTGCGTCCGAATCGAGGGGCTTCATCCTTCCGAGTTCACGTTTTAAAGCTGTTATGGCAAATCTGCTAACAAGCCAAGTAATAGATGCTGAAGGCTGGGGGCAGGAAGAAGAAGAAGAAGAAGAAGAAGAAGAAGAAGAAGAAGAAGAAGAAGAAGAAGAAGAAGAAGAAGAAGAAGAAGAAGAAGAAGAAGAAGAAGAAGAAGAAGAAGAAGAAGAAGAAGAAGATATAGCACCTCTCAAGATAAAAATCATGAGGTGCTTCACAAAAACCTAAACAAAACAAAATAAAAGTATACATTTTTTAATGATTGAAAACATGTTTAAAAGGAGAAAAGAACAGAAAATGTAAGGTAAGGGAGAGAGAAAATCAATAGGAAAGCGGGATCCCGGGAAAGGCAGAATAAGGAGAGAGAGGTGATGAAGGTCACACCAAAGCCAGCTTGAACAAGTGAGTCTTCAGCTGCTTTTTAAAGGAGACCACTGAGTCCATTGATCTCAGGCTCAGGGGGGGAGAGGTCCAGAGTCTGGGGGCCACAGCAGCAGATGATCTGTCACCCTTGACCTTTAGCCTGGTGCTGCACAACCAGTAGGCTTTGATCACTGGACCTCAGGGACCTGCTGGGGGTGTAGGGACTAAGAAGATCACCAATGTAAGATGGTGCTTGTCCATGTAAGGCCCTATAGACCAGAACCAGGATCTTGAACTGAACCCTGAAGTTGACTGGCAGCCAGTGAAGCTGGAGGAGAAGCGGGGTGATGTGGGTGTGTTTGGAGGACTTGGTCAGAAGCCGAGCACAGGCGTTCTGAACCACCTGTAGACGGTTCAGGGAGGTTCTGCTCAGACACGTGAAAAGAGAGTTACAGTAGTCTAAGCGTGAGGAGATGAAGGTGTGGAGAACTGTCTCAAGTTCAGAGCGGGACAGAATGGGACTCAGCTTAGCAACGTTCCTGAGATGGGAGAAGGAAGAGCGAACAAGAGAACTGACATGAGAATCCAGGGTGAGGGCTGGGTCAAAGGTCACGCCAACATTTCTGGATCTCCTTTAGTCCATATCACAGCAGGTCTGAAGGAGCCTCTGACTGAAGATGCTTTGATGCTGCATTGATTTTATGAAAATATGCACCATCAGCCAGGCTGTTGAGCATTTCAAAGTCTTCAGCCTTTAAAGGAGGTTGTGAGTCAGTCGATTTTAAAAAGATTGAGCAAAGCTTACAAATGACAGGAGCTGAGGGTCATTTCCAACACATATGCTGAGTAATCATGCACAATGAAATGAGATCATGAAACCTGACTGAGAAAGCCCCATTATTTCTAAACATAAGGGGATCTCTGACATTAAAGCCAATGCATAAAATGCATTCCTCCACGGAATTCCAGACCTTTAATTATGTTTGGACTCATCCATGCATGTGGATGCGTTCATTTGTTGTGCCAAAGCTTCTAGCACAGTTGTTGTAGAGCAGTGAACGTGTGCGGAGTACAGAAAAAATCTCTGAGATTCTTCTGTTTATGGTCTGCTGTGTCTGATGTATGTTTGCTTGATGCTTGAACTCCCCTTAAAGTCCAGAAAAAATCATTAGAAGGTGTTATTAGGCAAATCGCAATGTTCAGATTCAGGAAAAAGGAACATTTTACAAGTAAAGTATACTGAATGCTTTCAGTCATAAAAATAATCCTGCTTTTTTAAAATCCATCCATCTCATTCATTTATCTACGTCTTTGGGATTATGAATTTAAATTGTATGATTAAGGTTCAGAAAAGCAGCATTTTTGGCCTACAGTGCATTTTCTCTCAGGGTCTGGCCAGAATGAATGAATCATAAAGAACAGTAATGACATAATTTAAAGAGTGGTCTGGAAAAGAGGCTCATAGCTTCCAGGTGTCTCATCATCAGCACTTTGGTTGGTGCGTTCCTTTGGTCTAGACTAAACGTGATGCCAGCTAAACAAACTCATCTAAAACTTTAGCAGGAGTCATTTTAACATTTTTCATGAAGTAAATGGACTACAGATGCAAATTAGCAACTATGCTATAATCTGGCCCGTTTACAATCAATACAGTGTATTTGATAGTTTATTAGTGTGCATTGTCCTGAATAAAGAATTTAATTGAATTGAACTGAATTTTTTAAATAACATTTTAGAGCATTTTTTAGCTTCTTTAGTATCATGAACAGAGCAACCACTGAATGTGACCAAAAGTCTACAGTCTTGATGTCTATAGGGCGACAACAGCAGAGGAATTATGTGTCTGCCCTGTAATGGGAAGGTTGCAGGATTGAGCCCCGCTGAGTCTGTCGCTGTGTCCTTAGGCAAGACACCTATCCCACATTGGTCGGAGGGAAAGGTGGCGCCAGTGTACAGCAGCCTCGCTTTGGTTAGTGTGCCCCAGGGCAGCGGTGGCTACAATGTAGCTCATCACCACCAGGGTGTGAATGTGTGTTGTAAGGTGCCTTGGGGGGTTCTAGGACCCTAGAAATACAGGCCATTTATTATTTTTACAACCACCTGTTACCTGAAATTATCTGACGATGCACAAAGGAATACCCTCACATGCGTGTGCTGAATGTAGAATTCTCTCTGTCGCTTCTGAACAGGTATAGTTCGAGCATCGAGCCTGTTCCCAATTCTCAGCACCATCCTCCTGATGTTGGGTGGCATGTGTGTTGGCGTTGGACGATTCTACAGCAGAAAGAACAACATCCTGCTCAGTGCAGGCATCCTGTTTGTAGCCGCAGGTAGGACAGTCTAACAAACAAACACTAAACATATTCCATTCAGAGACACGTTCTGAAAGAAGGAGCACATGAGCAGATCTTTTCTTTAGTTACAGAAAAGTAGAGCTTGTCTCCTATCACCCACACCGCCTCACGACAAAAGAGTGTGTGCTTTGGAATGTATTCTGAAGGCTTTTTCTTAAAAAGTTTATCTCTAAGTGTGTGTGTGTGTGTGTGTGTGTGTGTGTGTGTGTGTGTGTGTGTGTGTGTGTGTGTGTGTGTGTGTGTGTTTCTACACCCTCCTCAGGTCTAAGCAACATTATTGGTATCATTGTCTACATCTCCAGCAACGCTGGAGATCCAAGTGACAAGAAAGACGAGGACAAGAAGAACCAGTACAACTACGGTTGGTCCTTCTACTTTGGTGCCCTCTCCTTCATCGTCGCCGAGTCTGTGGGCGTCCTCGCGGTCAACATGTACATAGAAAAAAACAAAGAGAAGCGCTTCCGAGCCAAGCGTGACTTCATCCAAATCTCCTCCTCACCGTACTCACGTATGCCGAGTTACCGCTACAGACGGAGGGGTTCACGCTCCAGTTCAAGATCAACCGACCCGTCTCGTGAGCCATCCCCAGTGGGAGTGAAGACTGGTGGAGGATCTGGAAGGGGGGGGTTGGGAATGAGCCTGCCAATGGGGGACATATCCCTGTATGGCTTCAGCAGAGAACCTTTGAAGGGCGGAGGTGGGCCTGCAGGGCCGTACAGCCCCGAGAGAGACTCTGGGTTTTTACAAGTCCACAACTGCTTCCAGAAAGATGTGAAAAATGCAGCAAACCGGAGGACCACACCGGTATGAGGTCAGGAGAGTTTGTTTTGAACAATTCATTTAATTAAAAGAAAGACTTTATATCTTGTACAGATGGGAAGACGTGATAGTTTTCCCCTGGAATCTTTCAGGCAGCATTGTTGAAAGGTCACGTTTGTTTTTCTTACATGCCACTGTGACAGAGAAGATAAAGAAGTGATTAACTTTTGCAGAAATGACCTAAAACTTGGAGCAGATATGTGTAGCGATGTTTAATGAGTTAAATTCTAGTGTGTATTTTCTGAAAAGTGACTTCTGCTTTTACATCAAAGCTCAAAGAATGTAGTGTTCATACTGGTGTTCCTCATAAACAGCCATTCGTTGACTTTGCATGATTAAAAGAGTAAGATATTCTTAGACTCACTGCTCAGTTTCACTCTGATTCAGCATTAAAATTGTGTTTTTTATTTTGCTTTAGTTTTTTTGTGAACTAGTATTTAAGAATAACTCTGAAATATGTCTGAAAGTTGTTGCTAAAGTGTAGAGATTAGTGTGATTGTTTGTTATCCCGGCTTTCCACTGGACGAGTAAGCACCGCGTATCATAATGCCCACATTTGCAGCTTATGGTTACCGTTGTATTTGACGGGACCAGATCCCAACTCGCCAAGTGCGGGACAGAGACTACTCAACGTGGGATGATGTGAAATTCCAGTGCAACAAAATTATTTTACAATTATGGCCCACAATTAAACAAAATGGAGGTTTAAGCAGCTTTTAGAGTTTTCATTTAATATTTTCCACAACATTATGGCAGCTAAAGTACCAGTAATATTATTAGATCTATTTGTGTTTGTTTTTAATCAATTTTACACTAAAATTAACTTCCAATTAAAAAACTATCCATATTTTTTTGCCTTTTTTTTCTCTTAATTTAGAAACGAAAAGCTGTTTTTTCAAAAAATGACAGTAAATCTCTTATAGTAGATATTGTGTGAACCGAAGGTGTGGACTCGAGTCACATGACTTGGACTCGAGTCATTATTTTAATGACTTCTGACTTGACTTGATAAAATCTATAAAGACTTACGACCTGACTCGGACTTGCACACCAACGACTTGTGACTTGAATCGACTTGCATCTGTTGACTTGAGCATATTTGATATTTTAGCACAAAAGTGGCACGACATGGACAAAAATCATAAATCATTCTTCGTTCTGGGTTTGATCTTGTTCTGCTGAATGCAACAGCACTTGGTTTATAATCAGTTTCAGTTGCATTTCCTGCTTGTTTGAGCAAATAAATGAAGCTTTAAGAAGCTTTATTTCTGGAATTTATTCATTGTCATCGTCATTAAATTGAAGTTGGACAGATGACTTGGTTACGACTTGAAAATTAAAAGTTAAGGACTTGGACTTGACTTGGACTTTCAGATCATTGACTTTGGACTCGACTTGGGCATGGTTGTCTTTGACTTGGACTTGACTGGAAAGACTTGTGACTTACTTGTGACCTGCAAAGCAGTGACTTGATCACACCTCTGGTGTGAACTGGTGAAATCACACGGGATCTCGCAATTTTCAAATGATTTTGAGAACCTGCGAGACAAGCTACATGACATGCTTTCTTTGCTGGTTTGCATCTGAAACACTCCTGTAGGGAAGGGGCACATTGCTGAGATGATGGGGAAAACGCATCTATTACATTTTGCAAAGCTTACGCATCCAGTGTTTAGCCCGGGTAAGAAGATCATAACCTATTGTAGATGTTTTTAACCCAACGCGATTGGTGCTAACCTCATTTAACCATCTCAAACCTGCTCTCAACTCCAGTTAACCAACTTATTTCACAATACTTGCTCACAAGAGCAGATGTAAATCGTGTCACAAACGAGTGTGTGTTTTTATGGATGTGAAATGAAACCCTTAACTTCTGTAAAACTAATTTATGTCAAGGTAATATACATTCCAGTTCTGTGCATCAGATGAAGCATTGTTTACAAAGACTGCTTGTGTAGCCTGCTGTCCTTTTGCTCAGGGATGATGCACGGACAGAGTCCTTAGTAAAGTCAGACAGACTGTTACAGCGTGTCTGTACAGCAAGGGCGGTTCTAGGGAAGGGATGGGGGGTTGGGTCCAGAGCCGGTGCTACAGTAATAGCAAGCTTGGACCCCACTTTGGCCCCCCTGCTGAAGACAGACCCTAAGCATTAATAAGTACTATTTTTGTGATCATTTAGCCTAATGTAAAATGGGAAGACAAAGCAAAATCTTCATGTTGTCACCGCGATAAATAACAATGTCTTTTTTGCAATATAGGCCTAGATACATTTTGAAACTAACTGAAAAGCTGTTCTACCTAAAGTGGCTGCAACAGAATTGCTGTAATATTTTTTTAATCAATCATTAAAATTTGATATACTTTTGCTAATATCTTTTTAATGTCTTCTTACAAACCTGCCTCTAATAGAGCAGCTTGCCCCCCCCCCCGCCCCCCCCCCCCCCCCCCCCCCGGTAGAACCTCCCCTGCTGTACAGAGTCATGGTCGTGGTCCTGTGTGTTGTTGTGGATTAACTCAGTTGTTTTCATGCATTCACGTAAAGAAGTTTATCTTCTATTGTAGCAGGCTTTTGATCATGATGCAAGAAATGTTGACAAGCTGTTTTCTGTCTCAATGTTCCTCCTTAGCAAGAATTCTTGAGAGAGTTGCATTTTCAAGAAGTTGTAGAATAATAAAATAATTCTGTGTCAGGATGTGGTCCTGTGACTTTTTGTTAGTGTAGTATGTTAACTGTTGAGCAGACATTGGTTTGCAGCAGAGGAAAGTACCTCTTCCAGGTTTGCTGCTAACTTGTCTTTGTTTTGCTTGAATTTGATTTGTGGGTTTTTCTTCCAGCTCTTTTGAATCTATAAATAATTATTGAGGCGTAAAATGGGCCTATTCTAAATGCCATAAAAAAACATTGAAGATTTTAGATTCAAGATCATTTTATTGTCATCGCACAGGTGTAAAATGAAATTGACTTGTGCTCATTAAAGACAGCTCACGTACGGTTCAAGTCCCTGGACACAAACATATCAGAGGACCTGACATGGAGTAAAATAGTCATTTTTACTCCTAGCTAAAACTGTAAATGGCTTGTATTTATATAGCACCTTCTAAAGTTGTACAACCCCCAAGCTGCTTTACAACTCATCAGTCATTCACCCATTCACACACAGATTCACATGCTGGTGGCGATGAGCTACACTGTAGCCACAGCTGCCCCGGGGACTTACTGAAGGAAGCATGGCTGCCGAGCACTGGTACTACCAATCAGAAGGTGTCTTGCCTAAGGACACGACTGCGAAAAGCTGATCGAGGCGGGAACCTGAAATCCTCCTGTTACGAGGAAATTAAAACTCTAAAATTAACATACGCAACAAAGAGCAATAATGCTGACATGATCAAGCTTTCGTTTATTGTTTTTGTTGACTTGCAACAGAACTTATCTTCATTTTTGAGGATGTTTCATCTGACATCCAAAATGTGTATTTTTGTGTTTTTCATGGTTAAAAACCGTATGTATGTCGATGTTAAAAACTCTTAGCATAGCTGTGTTCTGGATGATGATGATGATGATGCTGACGATGATGATGATGATGATGATTTACATCAGCATTAACACATCAAAATGCATCCTCTTCTATAGGTCATTTTCATGCTGCTGCTGCTTCTGTCAATTCTGTTGAGCTTTTTGTTTTGTTTTCATGGATCCTGTAACTACCCTTTACCTTTTTTGTTTTTTTTCCTTCACATTTTTATCTAAATCTTTCTTTTCTTCCCCCATTTTTTTTAAATGGTTTAATTTTTTGTTTTTCTTTTAGTTTGTTCTTGTGAGGCGTATTGTGATTTTTATCTTGAGGTGCTATATAGGGAAAAAAAGTTATTCCTTTAAAATTTAAAGCAAGAATATTTTAGCCTGGCTGAAAGTCCTTACAATCACTCTATGGCGCCAACAGTGTGGTAAACCAAATTCAAATGGCTTGATTGTTTAAGTTTTCAGGTTGCAAAGCCACAGGTGAGCATTTGAGAAGTTTACAGCTTCAGGGGAACGTTGAAAAATTTGAATATTGTGCAAAAGTTAAATTAGTTTCAGTAAATTAACACTGAGTGACCATCTAGGCTCATGAACCCTTTGCAGGTGCTTTGGATTCATTAGCTGATTAGAGTGTGACAGGTTGAGCCTAGAGCATTGACCTTTTTTAAATGTTTCTATTTGTGTGAGATTAAGAATTTGGTCAAATATTAGTTCTTCAGAAAAATGTAGCACTCAGTTATTTGTTTAGAACTTTTCTCCAAAAATGAATGCCCAGGAAAATCACCAGGGACAAAAAATGGCTAAAACATTTAAAATAGCCACACATTTCCACATTTTAGAAGAATTTACATAAAAATTCTTTGTATTTGAGAATACCTGTGTATTTTCTGAAAGAAATCTAAAAATATTTCTTTTTTAAACTGGCCTCAGTTGTAATTTGTCTTATATCAATACAAACGTTTTGAGTTCAACATTAGGGCAAAAAACACTTTTCTGAAATTTTTTGATTAATAACCAATTTTCAGCTTTCATTCTTCCAATCGTCGAAACAGACAAAAAATTCTTCAGAAGGTTGATGGATTGGGTGACCTTCACTTATCAGCTGGAGCCAACTGCTCAAAACCTCATGGTATCAGTCAGAGGTGTGGACTCGAGTCAAATGACTTGGACTCGAGTCAGATTCGAGTTACTGTTTTAATGACTTCTGACTTGATTTGATAAAACCTATAAAGACTTTTGACTTGAACGCCAATGACTTGAGACTTGAATGGACTTGCATCTGTTGACTTGATGATGACAAGCATATTTGATATTTTAACACAAAAATGGCACGACATGGACATAAACCATTCTTCGTTCTGGGTCTGATCTTGTACTGCTAAATGCAGCAGCGCTTTGTTTACTGAGCAAATCAATGAAGCATTAAGAAGCTTTATTTCTGGACTTTATTTGTTATCATTGTCATTAAATTGAAGTTAGACCGATGACTTGATTATGACTTGAAAATTCAAAGTTAAGGACTTGGACTTGACTTGGACTTCCAGATCATTGACTTTGGACTCAACTTGGACTTGGTTGTCATTGACTTGGACTTGAATGGAAAGACTTGTGACTTGTAAAGCAGTGACTTGGTCACACCTCTGGTATCTGTAACAGAGATGACTCCTTTGTGGGATAAAATATGAAGAAATGCTTCTCTGCATGAGCAAAATTTGTCTGATTATTTTATTTTAATACTTTGAGATTAAAAACCAGCTGTTGAGATTGGACATTTAAGTTTGTTGTCTGTAATATTAGATTTATATTTGCTAATAATTCATCAGCTGCTGATTAAAGCTGGCCAGCCTCTATTTTTCCCTACAGTCATTTTTCTTAACAAATAATTTCCCAAAGAAAAGCTTTGACTTGAACTTAAAACATAAGTCAGGAGAGTAATTTCCCAAGAGATTTCATCAAATAAACCAGAAATACATTTTCTAAATCTTGTTAAGTTTCCGCGCTTTAAAGAAAAGATGGATTTTTTCAGACATTGTAGTAAAAATGGTGTTTTCAACAAATCTGTTCAAATGAAACATTAACACAAGTTTTATTAGCATACATCTTGGTGTGGAATTGTAAAACATAAAATATGTAAAGTTGTGGTTTTGAGATCACTGCATTAAAGAACAATTACGAGCAGATTCATTTATACATTTTCCTCTTTGTATGCATTTTCTGTTGTAGTTTAAAAGTGCAGTTTATCTATTTCTTTAAACAATAAATTTATTGAATAGTTGCTTTTATACTCAAACACAAATGTCGACTTTGAACATAAGAAAACTTCCTGACATGCTAAACTTTACCTGAGAATTCAACCAAATCTGCACCTTGTCACTATATTTTTTGCACCCTATGGTTTAGTCTGTTAAAATGCTATCTGGTTTATATCGCAGGGCTGATGGCCTTGTGCTCACAGCTATGAAACCAAACGGCAGACAGTCAGGAAGCCACAGGGTGTTAAAGGACATCAGCATCAGCCAGCCCAATGCTTGACTGAACTAACAGGCTCCCAAATGCTCATCCAGACTTTGGAAAGTTTGTCTCTGGGAAGATTTGGAGCAAAGTTGGTGTTTGTGTGCACGAGTGGCGCTATTGTGGCTCAGCAGCTCGCCTCGTTGGCTAGTCTCATCTTCACGGTTTGTTTACCAGTTGGCTTTTCTTGTCAGAGGTTGGAATCGGTTTAATTTGTTTGCGGGTTTGTGAATCGTTGCTGCAGCGGCATCAACACCCAGACCCGTGAAAGAGCCAAACGGTTTCTGCTCCCCTGGTCATAGTTCTGATTCAAGTCACTGAGATGTGTGAGAGGATGTCTTGAATTAGAACTAACATATTTCCATTTATGGGACGTGTTTTATTTTTGGTTATGCTTGAAAGAGTTGGGTGTCCATGTTTTTCCCCTCCATCCATGAATTTGAGCAACTCCCCTTCACGCTTCTCCCCGCCTGTAAAGCCTGGTGAATCTGAATGCCGTGGACCCTCGCTGATATTTTCATCCACAATAAAGCTCCACTACCTCCCGTTGAGTGCCAGTGAAAGATCTCCTGCAGTAATTGAGAGGAAAATGGCAGGGTTACCTCTCCATGCCATTGCAGGAATAACCAGGCTACTTATTAGGATTCGTGACTCACTGCTAAAACTTACAGTACACAGCATTTACAGCTATCAGGGACTATTTTTATAAACAAACATACACTTGTACAAATATAGAAAGTCAATTTATTTAACATAATTTAACTGAAATCTGACTCTTGGATCCTTTCTGGCATTCATTGTATCGTTGGTAAGTACGCAGCTCAAAGACTAGTGCATGATCACAACTTGCAATCAAGGAGAGTAGAAGTCAAAACTCCACAGGCGTGCCCTCTCTTCGCAAGTTCTCTTTGAAAATTTAAAACAGCTGTTGGTTTTTTCTCAGCAGGGGTTTGATTTATTTCTCCCTGTTGATATTTATGCCACACTGTCAATCCAGAGAAAGCAACGCATTTATTCGGATGGCATCTGTCACTGTGCTAAGACTGGATTCAGTCAGCAGCAGTTGAAGCTTAACCTTTTTCATTGGCTGTGACAGAATTTTAAAAAAATCATCTGATCAAGATGGTGGGGTTTAATGGATCCAACAGACTGCAAAAATAAACATGGATCAGGTTCATTAAGTAAAAATGTGACCCCAACCTAATTTGACTTTTAGACTGAAAGACAAGAACATAATCTGTGCGGCTTTCAGAAGGACAACCATTTATTTGGACTGCGGATCATTTACAGAATATCTCACTCGTCTTCTCCAACTGGGGCAAACCAATATCCCTATCATTAAAGGGATGCTAGGCAGTTTTGCTTGCTTTTAAAACCCCCTAGAGTCCATTCT